AAAAGAGGTCTCCCAAAGAGGAAGGAATTCTGTTTCCAGATTGCATTTGGACTCAAGACCGAGACATTGACTCCTGCCAGAATTTTCAGCCTGCCAATCTGCCTTGCAGATTTCAGACTTGCCAGCCCTTAATAATCACATGAGCCAATTCCTTAAAATAAATCTCTCCCTCATCTCTCTCTCTCAATTTCTGTGTGTGTGTGTGTGTGTGTGTGTGTGTATGTGTGTACGTGTGCGTGTGTATGTGTATCCTACTGGTTTGGATAAGAAAGAATAGTTCCACTCACTTATGAACACTCTATGGTAACTACCAGTATGGATTATAAATAAGATAGAAGATAAAAGCTCAGCTTTCTATTAATATTCATTTAATAGAGCATATCAATTCTGTTTCTGGTACAAAAATCCTATTTGCAATTGACTGAACATCATCCTGTGGAGACATTGCAAAACTGTCAACCTATGAGGTGATTACAAAGTGAAAAAGTTAGAATGGTCCTCTCTCATGTAGAACTTATATTCTAAAAGAAAGAGACTAAAAAGAAATAGGGAGGGTGATATAATGCGATTAATTGTGACAGGAAACACTACTTCAGATAATATGGCCAGGGAGTTAAGACCTGAGGAATAAGAAAGAATTAGCTATAGGAAAGGCTGGGGGAAGGACATTCCAGAGAGAGAGAAGAGCAAGTGCAAAGGCCCTAAGGTAGAATCAGTATTGATGTGTCTGAGGAACAGAAAGAAGGCCAAATGTGAGTGGAGTATCCTGAGTGAGTCAAGACAGGAAACAAACATAGGTAAAATTCAGCTACTATCAGGCCTTAGAAGGATTTTGTCATTTTTGCAATGGAAAGTCATTGAAATGTTTTTAAACAAGGTGTGACATGATTGATGTTTGTAAAAGCCCACTCTGTGTGCTGTGGGAAGAATAGAATAAGTTGTAAGAATGAAGTTTGGAGCTCAATTAAGAGCCTTAACTGAGCACAGTTGCAAAAATGGTCTTTTATCTTAGAAGTTCAGTGTTTTCTAAGCCTTAGTTGGTATTGAGTTGGGCATCATTTTTCCTGTACACATCATGCCCTTTTAATATATGGTCAAAGCATTAGTGGGATTTTACAAATATTTTCTCAGATGATAACTACTATTTTTTCTGTTCCATTTGTGTGGTTCTCTTCTTCAGGGAAACAGATTACGCCCATCAGGAGTCTCTTTTATCCAGTTTCCATATCTATTGTTTTTCCAGTAAAACTTTTTTTTTTAAAAAAAGTCTTTGTCCATATCCTGTTTTGTTTTCTTTTTCCTTTTTATATGTTTGTTTTCAGTAATGTCTCTTTTAAAATTTGTGGCTTTGAGTGTGGCTTTCTCCCCTGGATAGTCTTGTCTTCCTCCTCCATCTGCTTACTGAGCTATGTGTACCTATTTTTCACCTCTTTCTATTATCATATTATTTCTCTCTTAAGCCATGTGTCTTTGTATTAAATTTATTAATTTTTTCTACAGAAGTGACGATTTCATTAAATTCTTGAGTTTACAGGACGAGCTCACAGATTCGTACATTCCTGTGGCATGGGTTCTTTGTCATTTGTTTTTTCCTACTCCTTTCCACTTTTATTCTTGTGGCATTTTTGTATTTATTCTGTGTTGGTTCCTTTTTGTGCTCATCCTTATACGAGGGAACTTCCTTCTGGATCGGAAGGCTGAAGGGAAGGACCAGGAGAATGTGTGTGGCAGACAAGAAGTAAATCTGGGCAGGAGTCTGGATGTGTCCAAGAACTGGCTTAAATTTCCCTTCTCTTTAGCGGACAGAAATACACAGCTACAGGTCTACTTCTCAAAGATTCTTCTCTGCTCTACAGCACAGTTGCCAAAGTGGCCCATGAGGACCTTCATCCTCCTGTGTATCCATCTCTGCTACTCCAGCGTGTGAGATGCGGGAAGCCTCCACAGCCAGCCAACACACCTTGACCTTTTTGTTCGGGGAAGGAGTTTCTGTTTTTTCCTTTTAGAATGAGTGTCCTTTTCTAGAGAACTCTGCATTCTGCTCTCCCTGCCTGAGATCCACAATCTTGGGGGCACCTTCTTCATTTAAAAAAAAAAATCAATAGATTTTTTTTTTTAGAGCAATTTTATGCTTATAGAAAAATTGAATGGATAGTACAGAGAGTTTTCATACA